GAGTGGCAGGGCTGTGCTGTTTGCCCTGGGCTGGCTCAGCGCGCGTCCTGAGGAGGCCCAGTGCTCAGGCAGGCGAGCTTGAAGGACGGGTGGTGGGCGGCCGACCCAGTGCCGGCCCCTGCGCCGGCGAGGCCTGGCTCCCTGGCTTCTGGCCAATCTCGCGGAAGCTGCCGTGATCCCCTCCACACACGGCCTTGCCCTGACCCAGGGCCCAGGGGTCAGACGCTCCAGCCTGGCTGTGCCCTCGCCCTTCCTGGAGCGGAGCAGGGGTGCGCCAGTGGGAGCCCCGCGCTGGCTGGAACAGCTTCAGTGTCTGTCCACAGCTCTCATGCTAATTTTTCCCCAGGGCGGCCACCGGCCACTCCGGGGTGTCCCCAATGGAACAGGTGACCGCCGCCTCCGTGTGGCCAGTGAAATCGGGGCTGTCCAGGGTGTGCAGCCCAGACCCACTCACCATGGAGGCAGCAAGCCTCCAGCTGGGCGAGGGCGCCAGTCTGAGGGGTCGGCGACTCGAGTCCCGACAGCAGGCGCCCAGCCCGTCCTCCGGGGTGCAGGCAGTGAGTGCCAGGGATGGGTGCTGGGGAGGGCGGCCAGCACCGCAGGGCACAGGTCCCTCACACGGGTGCAGGTGTGAGCGCTCCGTGCACAGGCACAGGGGCTGGGAGCGCAGGTCCTTGAGGGGGCCCAGCTCTTCACCGTGGCCTCTGGGGGCTGTGGCCAGTCAAAGAAGTCGGCCCAGGGCGGTCCCACAAGGACAGGTGGGAGGGGCTGTGGAGACAGGAGGACCGGCAGCCGCAGAGTCGGGGAGGGCAACCAGGGTGCTGGGACAGTCAGGCCCCAGGGTGAGGTTAGACAGACACGGAGCAGCTAACGAGAGGGCTTTGCTCCTTTGTAGTGAGGGAGACCCGGGGAGGCAGATGGCCACAATTAGGAGAACTTCAAGGTGGTATGAACGTTTATTTTCAAAAACACAGCCAAGAAGAGACATGGAGGTCTTGGAGCATGTCACTCCAGACTCAGAGAACAGATGGTAGGAACAAGTGAAGGAAAGCGCCCACAAAACAGCAACAGTTTTCCCTCTGTCACCCAGGCTGAGTCGAGTGTCATGACCACGCCTCAACTTCCTGGGCTCAGGCAATCCTCCCACCACAGCTTCCCAAGTAGCTGGGACTACAGGTATGTGCCACCACACCTGGCTAATTTTTAAATTTTTCTCACCATGTTGCTCAGGCTGGTTTTGAACTCCTAGGCTCAAGCTATCCTCCCGCCTCAGCCTCTCAAAGTGCTGGGATTACAAGCGTGAGCCATGGCGCCCAGCCTTAGACATGTTTAAAGGAGCATTTATAGTAAACCTGGGAATGGGAAGGAAATCCCAGCGACGGCTGGGTGGTCAGGCTTGGCTGCTGCTGAGGCTTAGCAGAGGGAGGGAGGAGGGTGGGAGCATCAGCACCCGGGCTGGCCCCCGGCCAGGGCTGTCCTCAGGCCCAGCCACGGCCCTGCCGCTCCTCCCCATCTCCCAGAGGAAGGGGCTGGGGCTGGGGTAGATGGCTCGATGCATTTCTCCCTTTGGGAAACCAGCATGCACCACGCTACCCAGGGCTCCTTGAGTGTGCCACCCTCAGAGCACAAGCTCGCCCCACCCTGCACTCCAGCTTCTTGGGAAATCCTGGCACGGGCCTGGCTGCAGAGTGAACGGGCAGCCCTGAGGCCACTGCCACAGTGTGATCCCAGGCAGCCTTGGTTCTCGGTCCAGGCACCAGGCTGTTGAAGCCAGACCCCACCCCCGACCACAGGGCCGAGAGGACTCAGCTGGGAGATGGCCCCGCACAGTCCCAGGCCCTTCCTGTGGCTGAACCTGAGCCCTGGGCACCTGGGTGGGGGGTTGCTCCGCCGGGCTTCTGCCCCCACCCGCGCCACGAAAGATGCGCAAACCATCCAGAACCAACTCTGGCCATCAGCGACTGGAAACAGTGGCTGCCGGTCCAAGAAGGAGGGTCCCCTGCGTGCCGGCATCCAGCGCCCGGGGCTATCCAGCGAAGGCAGCGATGGCGACCACCTGCAGAACAGCCTCCAGCCCATGGAGCGCCAGGAGCGTGGCACTGAGGGCCCAGTCTGCCCACAGCACCAGGGTCTGCCAGAGCAGGAAGTGGACAGAGAGGAGCATGGTGCCTGCCGTGAGGGCCAGGCTGGCGGCCAGCGGGCCCTGGGCCTCCGTCAGGTTGCCCTTGGTGCCTGGAGAGCAGAGTGTGTGTGAGGCAGGCAGGGAGCTCATCCCCCCCAGCCCCAAGAAGTGCAGTGTGAGTCCTGGGCAGCCAACTTCCCGGGGGGCCCCAGGCAGTGCCCACCCACTTGAGCTGTGCCTCTGGGCTGTGTGGGTGGGAAGAGCTTGGTTCTAGAGTGGCCAAGTGCTCCTGCCCCCTTTTCCTAATTCCACGTGTAACTGAGAGGATTTTGCCGAAGCCTTCCAAAAGTGTTTCACTCTGGGCTAAGGCCAGTTCTGGAAAATTTCACGAATACTTACAAAAAACAAAACTACATGCTTAACAAATGGGTCAATCACTGGCTGACCCCAGGTGCCCTGAGGTGTGCCGGGGAGGTCCCAGTGGCCTTAATGGCCCTCTTCAGGGCCAGGCTACACCCTGCCCCAGCCACCCCGGGGCAGGCCTGAGGCTCTTGGAAGTCCCAGTGCCACGTGAGAGCAGCCAGGACCCTGAGGCTGGGCACTCCTCCAAGGATGGGCAGCCTAGGAAACTGGCCTCCATCCACCCAGTGAACCAAGGGCTGACAAGAGGATCCCAACTTCCAGGCATGCTTCAGTTTCCCGCTGCGTGTCAGGCATCAAGGGTATGTGTGCATGTGAGGGGGCCTGGGTCAGAGCCTGGCAGGAGCACAGCACCCTGCAGGGCCTGGGTTGTCCCAGCAGCAGGGCACCGTGTGCGGTGGGATCTGTGGCAAGCGGGGCTCGCGTCCACAGGGCCCTGACATGTGCAGGAGGGCAGAAGGGTGGGCTGAGCCCTGGTGAGGGGTTCTGCCACGTTTCACTCCAGCACCCTTGAGTCTTGTACGAGACCACACCCTCGAGCAAGTCCTGCGCTTAAAGAAAGGGGAGTCTGCGGAGATTCCCCTTCAACGGCTGCGGACTTGCAGCCCCAGACCTGGGCTGGGGAAGCTGGGCCCTGCTGCCTGGGGGGACCGGCCAGGGCTCTCTAAGCCCTCCTCCACTGGCTGATAGCTGCGGCCAATGGGCAGGAAAGGGGTGGAGTGACGGTGAGGCTGGGCCTCTGTTCTCAGTGCCTGACCCCGTGGCTGCTGTGAACTGTGCCTCCAAACACCGTGTCTCTCCCAGGGATGTGCCCACTGTCACTTGTCTCTGGGACAAGACTTCTGAACAAATGATTAACACTGAATGGCACTGGAAGGAGAGCCTGCAAAACAGCTGGTTAAGCAGTGTGGGTAAAAAATGTCTCCAAGAGCCGTCCTATAAAACGGTTAAGGCCAGGTGCGGTGGCTCATGCTCGTAATCCCAGCACTTTGGGAGGCCGGGGCAGGAGAACCACTTGAGCCCAGGAGTTGGAGACCAGCTTGGGCAACATAGCGAGACCTTGTCTCCACAAAAATTTTTAAAAAATCAGCCAAGCAGGTGGCGCATCCCTGTGGTTCCAGCTACTTGGAAGGCTGAGGCAGGAGGATTACCTGAGCCTAGGGAGTTGAGGCTGTGGTGAGCCGTGACCATGCCACTGCACCCCAATCTGGGTGACAGAGTAAGATCCCAAGTCAAAAAAAAAAATTGGCTGGGCGCAGTGGCTCAAGTCTGTAATCTCAGCACTTTGGGAGGTCAAGGCAAGAGGACTGCCTGAGTCCAAGGGTTCGAGACCACCCTGAGCAACACAGTGAGACCTTGTCTCTACAATAAATCAAAAAATGAGCTGAGCATGGAGGTACATGCCTGTAGTTCCAGCTACTTGAGAGGCTGAGGCAGGATTGCCTGAACCCAAGTCGAGGCTGCAGTGGCCATATGTGTGCCCCTGCATTCCAGCCTGGGCAACAGAGTGAGACTCCAACTCAAAAAAAAAAAAAATTGGACATTTAAGGGTTCAGATAGCAATTTTGTAACGAGTCTAAAAGTTTTCACAGTCAACTCACCCAAGAACAATCGAATTGCTTCCAGAATCCCCATCAGAAGCAGCAAAGCCAGATCGAGGACCAGGCCGTTGGGAGGGTAGCTGAACACCTGACCTGTGGGACATGGGGCTATGTCACCCGAGGTGGCAGCAGTCACTCCCTCGGCCGGCCTTTTGTGGCTGACTCACTTTTATAGATCAGCATCAAGAGTGTGGCCAGGAGGTGCAGCACACAGTAGGCACCGCTGAGATGAAACAGCATTTGAAGCGGAACCGAAGACAGCTGGTAAGAAGTTAAGGGTTCTTGCACTTGGCAGACTGAGCGGGCTGGGTGGCTGAACGGGAGGGGCTGGTTCTGCACCTGCTGGTGGCCACAAGCACGCAGGGCTGGCTTAGGCGCCCACAGCTGGCACCCACAGAGACCCAGTGGTAGCTCCTGCCTACGGGGGCTCCTGCCGCCTAGTGCCATGGTCCCAAGAGTGGGCAGGGCCCCGCGGAACACCCCTGACAGGGCAGGTCTGAGTGCCGCCCTGTCCTCGAAGGCTGAAGGCCAGCCACCGCACCCCCGCCACACACTGGGTATGTCACCCTGACTCTGGTCCCTACTACGGCGAGAGGGAAAAAACAACTTTTCCCTTCACAGATGTATTTCTCTTTGGGAGCGCTTAAATGCCCACAAGCAATTTCCTGAGCTCAGTATACTTCCACTTGCTTATGCCACAACGAGTCTGGGCCACACCCAGTGAAGGGCTTTCATCTTCCTGCCACTGGAGGCTGGGGTGGAGGCTGGCGGCCGTCCCCCTGGGGGCTGGGTGGTCCCTGCCCTGGGCCGCCTTGGTAGATCTCCTGGAGTGCTGTGCAGGGCTGAGCCAGTGGTGAGGAAGCCAGCATACCCCATTCGGAGGAGGACATGGGGTCAGTGCTCTCCATCTGTCAGGGAACGCCCCTCCTCCTGGAAAGTGGAATTACAAGACCACTGGACAGTGGGGGTGGGGCAGAGCTCACAGTGCCGCCAGCAAGTCATCCCTCTGGGTGCCGTCCTGGAGGGCTGCGGTGAAGGATACCACCATGGAGGAGCCTCTCCCTGGAAGAGAAAGGTCTGTGAGAGGCCCGAATCCCATCAGGGTGCTTTCCTGGGCCTCCTGGATGCCTGCAAGAACGATCCCAGCCCATTCTCCTCTGGTCTGTTTACAGAGAGAAGTGAGGGCTTGTTCTGGGCCTGCAGATGCTCCCCCCCCCCGCACCTCTGCATCCATCCCTCCAAGTGGTGGTAACGCCTCTGCCCTCAACCCAGGCCAGAACCCAAGCCGGGTGAGATCCAGCCTACTCTCCCTGCAGCTGCTCTTATCTGCTTTGGCTTCTGCAGATTTCCCACACAGACAGGTAGAGGATTTGGGTATAAGGCATCTTTTTTCATAGCTGGTAACAGTCACTTGCTTTCCTGTTATTGTATTCACTGCCCCACATATCCCTTCCTAAGTGAGTCCTAAGTCAGCCGTCCAGGCTCTCGTATCTCGATCTCTTGAACCTTCTCCCACCCCTGCTGCAGGCATGTTTCCCTCATCTGGAGATGACAGCAAGCCCGGGAGGAAGCTCTGTGCTCCCTTCGGATTCCGAGGTTACTTGAAAATTCCTCTGACTCACCCTTGGGTGGAACGTGACCTAGGTCAGACTGCCTGTCTGAAAAGAGGCTCATGCTGGTTGCACATCTGTGATGGGTGCACGTCTCTACATGTGTAAACACGCCAAAAGAAATCTAGAATTTGGCGAGAACCTCCCGTAAAAGGAGGCTCGAGCTGAGTAGGGCACTGGCCGGAACACAGGCTCTCTGCTCCATTTCCTCTTTAGTGCCACACAGGGCAGGAGAGAAACTCTCAGCCCTGGTGAGTTTTTGTGGGCGATCCCACAACTTCCCGGGCAGCTGTGGGACCTCTGTGCCGGAGTTCGTGGACTCTCACCTGGGCAAGAGTCTTAAACCAGTGAGCCCAGGTCCCCAGCAGTGACGCCAAGCTGGGCTTCCAGAAGAGGCAGCACGTGCTGAGAGCAGGATGCCAGGTGACGGCCAAGCAAGTCGAGTCACATTTCAGACAGTCACTCTCTACGCCCAGTCTGCTCTTTTCCAGGCCTCAGCTAAACCAGGCTACCAGTCACTGCTTGGGCCAACTTCGCCTTAACTGGGGCTGTCCTCCCTCTGGTCCTTCTGCAAAGGGTGGCTTCAGAAACTCTCACATATATCTGCTAGCTGCCCCTTGTTAGGGATCGGAACGTGGGGCTTGGCGGAGAACACTGCGCAGAAACCCGAAGTGATACAGCACTTAAATAATTAACACGATGGGAACCATCATCAGATATGCTCTCCTGACACTTTCAGACCTGTAGGGAGTTTGATCTGCTGGAACATTCTGGGTTTTTTTTTTTTTTTTTTTGAGTTGAAGTCTCACTGTGTCTCCCAGGCTGAAATGCAAGGGCATGCTCATGGCCACCGCAGTCTCAGCCTGCTGGGCTCAGGCAATCCTTTCTCAGCCTTTCAAGTAGTTGGAACTACAGGTCTCAGCCTTTCAAGTAGTTGGAACTACAGGTGTGTGGCAGCCACCACACCCGGCTAATTTTTTGATTTATTGTAGAGTCGAGGTCTCGCCAAGTGGCCCAGGCTGGTCTCGAACCTGTGGGCTCAGGCCATCCTCTCTCTTCGCAAAGTGCTGGGACGACAGGCGTGAGCCACCACGCCCGACCTGGGACTTGACATTTTTTGTCTATGACTTACTGGAATCACAATGTGGCTGAGAACAGGCGTGTCAGGCAGAAGTTCAACCGAGAAGTAAGAATGTTTTCCCTGATGTAACAGGGAGCACGTGCTGGTATGATTGCTTCTCAAATGAAAACATACAACCACACCGGGCACAGTGGCTCAAACCTGTCATCCCAGCACTTTGGGAGGCCGAGGGTGAGGACGGCCTGAGCCCACAGGTTCGAGACCAGCCTGAGCAGCTTGGTGAGACTTCGTCTCTACAATAAGTCAAAAACTAGGCCGGGAGCGGTCAAGCCTGTCATCCCAGCAGTTTGAGAGGTGGAGGCGGGAGGATGGCCCGAGCCCACAGATTCGAGACCAGCCTGGGCAACTTGGCGAGACCTCATCTCTACAAGAAATCAAAAATTAGCCAGGCGTGATGGGCGCGCCTGGGTTGCGGCTCCCTGGAAGGCCCAGGCGGAAGGATCGCCTGCGCCCAGTCGGTGGAGGCTGCGCTGGCCGTGAGCGTGCTGCTGCCCTCCAGCCTGAGCGACGGAGTGAGACTCCAACTCAGGAAGAAAAGAGAAAGAAAACAGGCCCAGGGGCTGGAGAACTCCCGCGACGGAGGTCTGGCCAGCTGGGGCCCGGCGTCGGGAGAGCTCGGGGAAGCGGCCCAGGCCAGAGAGCAGGCTTCGGGGATGACCCGGCCCCTCTCCC